CCAGCCAGCAAGATCCCTCCTTCCCCAAGAGCCAGCCCCAGATCCAGCCTCAGGGGCTTGCCCCTCCCAGAACTATGGGCTCCCTAGTGGCCACATTTAACCCCTGGCCCCTCCTACTGATGCAGCTCCAAATGCTCCGTCTTGGAGGTAGGGATTGGCACAGTTATCTATTAGCTGTGAAATTAATCTGTCCCTGCTCTCCCTCACCCTTGAATCCCCCTGAATCATCAAAGCTTGTGGCTGGCCCGTGGACGTGTGAGGAGCAAGCCCACTTCTCTGGGCTGCGGAGGTAGAGCTCGCCTTGCTGGAGGAAGGGGAGGAGAAGGCAGAGCAGCTAGGCTCCTGCTGCTGTTAAGGCTTTCTCACAGGTGAGGAGGAAGCAGCTCTGGGGCCGGGGGTCGGGGGGGAGGTTAGGGCATGCACAAAAGCTGGTGTCCCAGGGGTCCTTGGTCTGGGGAGGTGGACAACTGGCAAGTAGGGGGGTAGGAAGGTCCTCTTGGTGGCTGCTTAGTGTGCAGAGCCTGCTTGCACTCTGGAGCCAGCTGGCCTGGAACCAGTGCCCAATAGCATTAGCTTCTTCCCAGGCATGAAGATGGCAGGGTTGTGGCTGCAGTGGCAGAGAGCTCGGATGCCAGCGTGGGCAGCTGGGTGAGAGCCCCGAGCCCCGGGGATGGAGGCCGAGCTGCAGGGCAGGGCAGGGACCACAGTGAGGCAGGCAAGGTGGACAGGGCACAGAATGTCAGCAGGTGCTGTGTCAGGAGCACAGCGTCCATGCAGCCCTGAGAGTGACGGTTTCCTAAATGTTTGCTTCCTAGGCACCTGGCTTGCGTCTTCAGTCCTGCTGCTGGAGAAGCAGCAATGGCTCCCCATGCCCGGAACCTGCTGCCCCAGCCTCCTAGACTAAGCAGTCTTAAGAGGTTCAGGGAGAGGTGCTCTAGGGAGAGCCACTGAGACCTTTCCACGCATGCACACTGTGTTGGGACATGTTGGCCCATGAGGGAGATAAAGCATACTGCTCACAGCCAGGCCATTCCTGGTCAGGCCCCCTGCCCCAGAGCCCCAGGGGTATCAGTCTTGGCAGGCCTAGACAGGGAGGAAATTAGGAGTGGGGTTCCTGACTTCCATCCCCTACCAGTGTCTGGGTGACCTTGGCTAGTCCTTCCAGTTCTAATCAAAGGCAAAGCCTCCGTTTTTCTGTCTCTAAACGGGAGAACCATATCCTCGCTGCTGCTCTCTCTGGAATGCGGGTAGAGAGGAAGGCTGGGAGGCCTCTGCAAAGTGGGAGTCTCCTGCCTCCTGGCTGCCAGGCTGGTCCTGCCTTTGGACCAGATTAAAAGAACCTCCAACATGGGTCCCAAAATAGACAGAAATGAGGCAGGTCACAGGGGCCTCCCAAATACCTCTGAAAGCTGCCCAGCACCCCAGATCCCTCCTCTTCTAGCCCAGGATTTCTTTGCTTTGCTTTGCTTTTTTTTTTTTTTTTTTTTGAGACAGAGTCTCGCTCTGTCACCCAGGCTGGAGTGCAGTGGCACGATCTCAGCTCACTGCAACCTCTGCCTCCCAGGTTCAAGTGATTCTCCTGCCTCAGCCTCCTGAGTAGCTGGGACTACTGGTGCCCACCACCATGCCCAGCTAACTTTTTGTATTTTAGTAGAGATGAGGTTTCACTGTGTTGCCCAGGCTGATCTTGAACTCCTGAGCTCAGGCAATCCGCCTGCCTCGGCCTCCCAAAGTGCTGGGATTACAGGTGTGAGGCACCGCGCCCAGACACTAGCCCAGGATTTCTGATCATCCTTCAAAGCCCAGTTCAGACCTCACCTCTCTCTAGAGCATCCCCCCACCCCAGGCCAAGGATTAATCTCTCCTCATTCTTCCATCTCACCTCACCGAAAGCATTTAGGACCATGCCTGGCATGCAGCAAATGCTCAATTGAAAGACATTTTATGTCTCTGTAATAATTTCTTGCAGTGCTCAGAACTAAATTAACCATAATCTTTGGTTCAAACTCCAGTACTATCACTGGCCCATGATGGCTTTCTTTAATTGTTTAATTATAATTTATTTTCAATAATATAATGAACTCCCACCGGGCAGGTGGCTCATGCCTATAATCCCAGCACTTTGGGAGGCTGAGGCCGGCGGATCACGAAATCAAGAGATCGAGACCACCCTGGCCAACATGGTGAAACCCTGTCTCTACTAAAAATACAAAAATTAGCTGGGCACGGTGGCATATGCCTGTAGTCCCAGCTACTCAAGGCTGAGGCAGGAGAACCACTTGAACTCGGGAGGCAGAAGTTGCAGTGAGCTGAGATCGCGCCACCACACTCCAGCCTGGGCAACAGCGCAAGACTCCATCTCAAAAAATAACAGTAATAATAATAATGAACACCCATTAACTGATCACCCAATCCAAAAACCCAAAGGTTTAGAATGTATTATCTTACCCTCTTCTCTCCCTCATCCTCCCATCTGCCCTCCAAGAAGAAACCATCCTCTTGAAGTTTGTGTTTATTATCAAATAAATGCAAGACTATAGGTACCCAGAGAGGCAAGAGGGCTGGTAGATTCTTCAGCAGAAGTAGCTGTTTCTCCAGCCAAGCTGCAACTCTCTTGAGAGCAGCGTCTGGCTTCCTTTTTTGCTGCAGTGTGAGCGGCATGGGGCTGGCCACACCACATGGTCGGTGGAAGCTACTTGGGGCACCAAGAGCAGGAAAGGTGAGGCCTGAGTGCACGTCGGGAGGCACAACACGGATCCAGAATAGGGAAAAGGGCTTCTGGTTCTAGCTCACTGCACCTGGCAGGTGACCGTGTGACTTCAACCCTGCCCTGTGACATCACACAATGTTGCCCAGGTGACCCAGCTAAGTGGAAAAGCTCACTGCTTTTCCAGGCCTGGGCAGAGAGAGGGCCCCCCATCTCTCCACCATCCTGGGGGTGCCAAAAGCCAATTGCCTCGTTGCTGACCCTGCCCAGCTGGCCATGGCTGGCAACCCCCAAGGCCCCTCCACCCACAGACCATCTTGCTGCTGAGAGATCGAGGACCTGTCCCACCTGCCCACCCTCCCCCTCCCCGCCATTCAGACCCCAGGGCTGATGTGTGGCACCCCTGAGACCACAGTGACCTCCATACTGTCTGCTACCCGTAAGACTCCAAGACGCCCAGGCCAGCTGTCCGGGCAGGACTGATGCCTGATCACCCACTGATACCAGGTATGGTCCCAAGATTGTTAAGCAAGGCCAGACATCCCTCCCCTCAAGAGGATGGGATGGAAAAACAGAAAGGTGAGGCCAAGGACATGGGTCATGCACCTGCATGAATCCGTCCCTCCTCCCAAGGCCCTCCTTAAAAGTTATGTGTGCGCCTTAATTATGACAAAAGCTTCCCTTCTCTGGGTCTCAGTTTTCACAGCTGTGAAATGGTCCCTGTGGCTGTCCCAGGTTAGCTGCCCTATACTCTTGCGCCACGGGGGAGCTGGAATGCAGTGTGTGCTTGCAGATGTTGTCCATGCTGACCACCCGTACCTGGTGGTTCCTGCCATCCTGTTGCTGGGATCACATAGTCTCCGAGAGCCCACTGAGATGGTTCATTACACCCGTCCAATCGCTTCCAGGAGATTTCCAGGCTGCTGTCTTGGCAGCCCTGATGCCCCTACTGCCCCCATGCTTCCTAGCCCTGGCCTTGATTTTCCGGGGCCTAGGCCCCTGCCCTGGAACACAGATGCTTGGGTCTCTGGAGAGAAGGGACTTTTGTGTTTTGTTCATTGCTGTATCCCCAGCACTCAGCACAGTGCCTGGCACATAGTAGGTGCTTAATAAAAAGCTGTGGCCCGGCAGCAGGGCTCTGCCAGGAAAGGACTAGCATCTCAGTGCAATGAGATGCAAACAGTTCAACGCAAGAGAGCCCTTACCTTCCTCACTGGCAAGGCTGAGCCCCTGCCCTAGATGGTGTCATTCACCCACAGGGATGGCAGAAGGAGCTGAGACCAAAGGCACACAGGTACTTGCAAACTGGGAAACCCTCTTTGTGGTTACACTCAGGTTGAATAAGCCACATAGGTGGGGGTGCCCAGGCCCTAGTGTGATTTCCACTTTATTGCTCTGGAGTTTGATGTCTCTGGCTCCTGACATTCTCTGCCCACAGCTGGCCCCTCTCAGACTCCACCCTCCCTATTAAGCTTCTTTCTGTAATGCCACACACTCAGGACCAGGCACCAGGTTGACCTGGCACCCTAAGTGCCATCTGGTCCCCGCGTGACCTATGGAGCTGGATTTGGGATCCAGGGAGTTGCGTGGGAGTCCTCAGGAGGAGCCAAGTTTGCTTTGATTGGTAGCTTTGAGAAGCACTTTTGATAGCTGGGTGGAATCGCCTGTAAGGTTGCCCATCATGGCCGGGCGCGGTGGCTCACGCATGTAATCCCAGCGCTGTGGGGATTCTGAGGCAGGAGTTTGAGACCAGCCTGGCCAACATAGAGAAACGCTGTCTCTACTACAAATACAAAAATTAGCAGGGTGTGGTGGCACACAGCTGCAATCCCGGTTTTTCGGGAGGCTGAGGCAGAGGAATTGCTTGAACCTGGGAGGCAGAGGTTGCAGTGAGTTGAGATCACGCCACTGCACTCCAGCCTGGGCAACAGAGTGAGACTCTGTCTCAAAAAAAAAAAAAACTGTTCATCATGTATATATAATATATATTCATGTTTCTTCTTTTGTGAATCCCCAGATTCGTGTTTTCTTAATTGAGGTGATGTTTGTAGGTTTCAGTGCTCTTTGTATACTGGCGATATTCATCCTTTTATGGATATATATAGAGCAAACATTTTCTCCTTTTTCTCTTTTCTTTGTTTTGCAGGGCGTTTTTTACCATTATAGAAGCTGGTATAGATTTTTTAAAATGTAATCAAGCCCACCCTTTTTTAATGATTTCTGACTTTTGTGTCATCTTCGGGAAAGCTTCTCTGCTCCAAATACCGCAATTCCTCTTGCTGCCACCAATGGATGCTCAGGTTATGAGTTCCAGGGGGTATCCACTGTGGAGCAGAGAAGGGAGCCACATCCGAGGAGGCATGGTTAGAGCACCGCAGAGACAGCGGGAGTGTGGGTCACACCGACCCTGCTTCCAGTTCCAGCCCTGGCCCCAGTAGCTAAGCTGTGTGCTTTCACGCAGAGGGTTTGCTTTCTCTGAGTGTGCTTCCTCACCTGTAAAACAGCTTTCCCCTGGTCACAGGAACTCCCAGGAAGGTTTAGATGCTGAAACTGAAAGGAACCTGGGGGACCATTTTTAACTGAAAGTCCTGGGAAACTGCTGGGAAATAGCCCCACTGCAGTCAAATAAGTTGCCCACATGACAGATCTGGGCAGCCAGGCACCCTGCCTCCCAGCCCAGCCCCGCCCCTCTCCAGCTGGTGTGGGTTTTCAGACACAGGGCCCTTCTAGAGGGTGGAACTGGGCTTCGCTCCTCAGGCCTCCCAGACTGCTGGAGGAGAGGGGTGGCAAGGGAGGCGTGGTGGAAGAGTTGGTCTCCTTCCATCTCTATCGCTGCCAGAACCAAGTTAAGCCCCCACCCCACCTTCGGGAGCTGAATTCAAGGGCCATTAACTCCTTCCCATGGTTTCTGCCTCCTCCTCCCACCGCTGCCCCTCCCCCCAGCACTCAGATTCAAAAATGCCCTAAGTGGTGGGCAGTCCTAGTTCCCCCAACACCTGCTGGCTAATCCTGGCCTACTGAGGGCAAGGCCACCTGTCTGGTTGGGTAAGGGCACTGGAGGTAGCAGCTTCTGGATCTGGGGGACGTGTATTCTCACCTCCTAATTAGTCATCTTGCTAGGCGAGGACCACAGCCTGCACCAGGCAAGTCGAGGGAAGGGAGGGAGCAAGGCATAGGGATGACAGTTCTGGAGTGAGACCCAGGGATTAGCGGTCCAGCAAAGAGAAGAGCTGGGGCAGAGGCACGGAAGGAGGAGGGAGCTTGGCGGGTGCGAGAATCAGCCAGGAGGCCAGTGTGGCTGGAGCGGAGTGACCCATAGGGCCCCATGGGACAAGATGAGGTCAGCTTTCTGGGTCAGCTCCTGGAGGGCCCCACGGGAACATTACCAGGCCCAGTGGAGTAGCTGAGAGTGCTGAGCTTTGGAATCAGGCCGACTTTGGTGCCCACAGCCCAGCCTCTTGTCCACTGGCTGTGTGGCCTTGGGCAGCTAAACTGGCCAAACCCCTGCCTGGCGAAGCTGCCTGCCGATCTCTGCACCCTAGCAGTGTTGGGTCGGTTAACCGAGAGTGAGCCTGAGAGGCTGACGGTGAGCACCCAGCTCTGTTCCCCGCCAAGAGGAGACATGAGTTTCCTCCCCAGAGCTCACCATGCCCCTACAGATGGGTTTGTGCTGCCTGAGACTTACAGGGGGATTTCCCCATCACCCCCAGTTCACTCCCCCTTGTGTAACCCGGTATGTGCATTTTCTGTTCTCTCATAAACCCTCCAGTGCAGGCCAGGGTAAGTGACTGGTTGAGGACATTGGTTCTGATGCAAGACGCCTGTGAGGGAAGTGGGCAGATTCCCATCCAGACGTGGGAGGGTTGGCTGCCCTGGCCCCCCATCCCCATCCTGGCATCACCCTTGGCCCCAAGCCTCCCTGGCCCTGGGCCCAGCCTACCCAGCGGGCACATGCCTGCAGGCCTCACCAGGAGGCGCCAGCCTGGCAGCTGGCCTCATGCCCAGAACTGAAGCACGAGCAGTTCTTGCCAAACTTCCTGCAAGCATTTTTCCCAGAAGGGAAGGCTGTCCCCAAGGGGGAGGCACAGAGGAGGTAGAGGAGGAGCCAGTGCGACTCCTGGCTGGGTCTGCAGGTGCCTAATTGGGCTCTGGGGCTGCCAGGGAGTCAGTGAGAACCTTGGACAATGGTGGTGCTCCTGGGCCCTCACTTGTGTGACCCTGTGACAGGGCCTGTACCCTCATAGCAAAAAGAGGAACCCATGAAGGAACATTAATCAACCCCCCAGCTCACTGCAGGAACTTCAGGCACAGTAACCACGGAAAGGCTGAATCACAAACCATTCCAGGCATTCCCATTGGCCAGGTGGGAAACTCAAGGCTCAGAGAGGTGGGGCAGAGAGGTGGGGCCAGAGCTGAGCTGAAACCTAGGTCTTTTCTTTCTCCCTCCCTCCCTCCCTCCCTCCCTCCCTCCCTTCCTTCCTTCCTTCCTTCCTTCATTCTTCCTTCCTTCCTTCCTTCTTTTTTTTGGATGGAGTCTCAGTCTATCACTCAGGCTGGAGTGCAATCTCAGCTCACTGCAACTTCTGCCTTCCCGGTTCAAGTGATTCTTCTGCCTCAACCTCCCGAGTGACTGGGACTACAAGCTCGTGCCACCACACCCAGTTTACTTTTGTTTTCTTAGTAGAGATGGGGTTTCACCATCTTGACCAGGCTGGTCTCGAACTCCCAGCCTCAAGTGATCCACCTGCCTCGGCCTCCCAAAGTGCTGGGATTACAGGCATGAGCCACCACACCCAGCTGCGCTGAAACCTAGGTCTTTTGCCCTGGGGCTGCCAGCCTTGCTCCTGTGCCACTAAATCAGGAGAGCAAGGCTTCGGGGGAGTGGGGGGTCATGGTGGTGGGCAGTGAGGGTGGATATGGGAGGAACCTGCCTACCCAGGAGGGCAAGGAGCAGCACTCTGGCTGTGCCCCATCCCTTACCTCCAGGCAGGGGCATCTTCCCCTCCTGGAGGAGGGGAAGGAGGAGGGGCAACCTTCATCAACACCTCTGCAGATGGTGACAGGCTCTGCTGGGTCCTGGAGGAGGGTAGGGGTGGCCTCCTCAGTCAGAGGAAGGAGGGGGGTCTCTCTGCAGGACTGGCACTTCTGATCTGGGGGGCATGTATTCTCACCTCCTAATTAGTCATCTTGCTAGGCAAGGACCACAGCCTGCACCAGGCAGGCTGAGGGATGACAGCTCTGGGGTGACACCCAGGGAGGAGTGGTCCAGGCTGAGAGAACAGCTGGGGAGAGGCCGGGAGGGAAGAGGGAGCTCGTGGGTATGAGAAACAGCCGGGAGGCCAGTGTGGCTGCAGCGGAGTGACCCACAGGGCTCTATGGGACAAGAGGAGGTCAGTTTTCTGGGCCAGCTCCTGGAGGGCCCCATGGGCCATTGCTAGGCTCTGAGAGAAGCAGCAGGCTACTCCAGGGTTCTGAGCAGAGGAGAGAGAGGGTCCAGACCAATCTGTAAAGTCTCACTCTTGCCGCTGTGTGAGATCGGATGGGGTGGAGGGAGAGCCGGATAGGAAATGAGAAAGCCGTCAGAGGCGAGTCGGGACGTGCGGGTGTCTGGGAGGGACCTGAGTGCTGACCTGAGGATGCCGAGAAGGGGTCAGAGTCCAGAAATGGTTTGAAGGCGGAGCTGACAGGATCTGCTGAGGAACTGCATGAGGGATGGAAGAGGGAGAGAGCGAAGAATCAGGAAGGACTCCAAGATGTGGGGCTTGAAAAACTAGAACAGATCACCATTAACTCATTAAGGAGTTGGGGCAGACAGCAGGAGGAAGGGTTTGAAGAGGAGGCAAGAGCTTGTTAGCTTTGAGAGGCCAGTAGACCCCTAGAGGAGCTGTTGAGGGGGTGTGTGGCTCCGATTTGTGGGCACCCCACACTGTCATGAGAAATGGATGAAATAACGTCCCTAAAACTCCTCAGGGCAGGGCAGAGACTCAGGCACTGTCCCCTTTTCTTAGCCTCTGCCTGAGGTTTCCAGGAGCCAGCAGGGGTGGTGCGGTGCCCAGGACCCCCAGGCTCAAGGTAGGAGCAGAGCAGGTTCCAGATAGGCCAGTCCAAGCCCTCATCTCCCCACTGGTGAAACTGACTCTCAGAGCATGGCTGGCTTTGGTAGCCGGTGTGGTGAGAGGCAAAGCTGGTTTAAACCTGTTCTCCTGACCATCAGGGCTCTTCAGGAGCTAGCCCATTCTGAGCCAGGGACCCAGCCTGCCGGGGCTGCCATCAAAGCCAAAGTCCGTCCGGGGCCCAGATCCTTGCTTCTGTCTGGGCCTCAATCTCCCCTCTGTGTAATAGGACATTGTTAACCCCATCCACCAAGGCCTGCCCTGGAATGCAGGGTCTGACAGGCTGAGCTTGCCAGAGACGTGGGACAGCCTCCCAGTGGCCCCTCAGGACTCCACCACCACCCTGAGGAGGTCCACTGCTCATCTCCCAGGACCAGGAATGCCCCTCTATGGCCCCTCACATCAGCTGGAGGGACAAAGGGTAGGGAGGCCTCCTGCCGAAGGAGGCCTACCAAGGATTAATCTGGGTCAGATTAACTGGGAGTGGACAGTCAGCCAGCCGGCCTCCTCTCTGCTGCCTTCCCTGACTGGCTCAGCCGGCCAGGGCTCTGTCTCCTCTCAGCAACTCATCACAATGGTCCTTTGGGCCGTGAAGCCATGAGTTACCGAGCTGCTGTGTCCCCGCATGGGGCAACTGGCACAGGAGGCCCTGGCATGGGCGGGCACCTCCTCCTCCCCAGTCCGCAAATTTCCTTAGGTAGAAGACAGGTGGGGCATCTGGGACGGACACATGTATTCACCTCCATGTAATGCGCAGAGCGCCCCCGAGGCATGGAGAAGCTTTGTAAGCTATAAAGCGCTGTGCACAGGAAGGACCTGAGGTGACGGGTGGGCTGAGGCGAGGTTACGGGACAGACTGAAGAAGGTGGCCCATTGCTGGAACTGAAAATGCAGGTGGGATTTAGGAATTACAGGTGAGGGTACTTGCTAAAGCCAAGGCTTAGAAGTAGGACCGGACTTGAAAGGTGAGGCGGCCTGTCTTATCCTGGATCCAGGCCTGGGGGAGAGGCTGAGTGGCACTGAGGGATGTGGGATGGGGACAGAGGTAGGGAGAAAATGGGGCCAAGCGACTGCCCTGCAGAGTGGGTGGAGGGCTGACAGAGGGAGGCAGGCACTTGATGGGAGCTGTGATGGGGGGCTAGATGTTAGAGGGTGGCAGTGAAGGGAGGTGCTGCAGCAGAAGAGGCCACTCAGGGCCAGGCGCAGAGACTCACACCTGTGATCCCAGCAATTCGGGAGGCCAAGGCGGGTGGATCACCCGAGGTCAGGAGTTCGAGACCAGCCTGGTCAACATGGTGAAACCCTGTCTCTACTAAAAATACAAATATTAGCAGGACATGGTGGCACATGGCTGTAATCCCAGTTACTGCGGAGGCTGAGGCAGGACAATCTCTTGGACTCGGGAGACAGAGGCTGCAGTGAGCTGAGATGGCACCACTGCACTCCAGCCTGGGTGACAGAGTCAGACTCTGTTTAAAAAAAAAAAAAGAAAAAGTAAAAAAAGAGGTCACTCATCCTTGACTCTCCCCATAGAACACTGAAGGCCCAGAGGAGCCCCTGGTCGCCTCCCAGAGCATGGAACCGGAAATCGGTCACCTGTCTTCCTCTAACAAGGAGACCATCATGGTCACCCTCCATGGGGCTACCAACCTGCCTGCCTGCAAGGATGGCTCTGAGCCGTGGCCCTATGTGGTGTTGTAAGTAGCTGGGTGAGAGTGGGGGCAGGGGATGGGTTGGGGCTGTGAGCAGAAACAGGGGGACAGCTATTTGGAATACGACCACCCAAAGGCCCAGGACGGGGACTGTCATACCCAGAGAGGAAAAGCCGAGTATGACTCACAGAGGCGCTGTGAGCACTGCCTGGCATATCCGCTGCTGCATGGGAAGCTGCTCACCGGGGCTGGGCAAGGCCGGGTGCCAAGGAATCAGAGCGTCACCCCCCACCCCACAGCAGCCGGGCAGGGATTGGCCACAGCTCAGCTGCAGTGGGGCAGGGCCCTCTCATGCAGAGGCCTGGGCTGGGCTCATGGGGGTGATGGTCAGATTGGGGAAGGGGAAGATTTGGGGCCTGCCTCTTCTGACTTCTGGGTGCCCCACCCCATCATGCCCAGCCCTGGGGTAGGGTCCTCATAGCCACCCTCCCCTCCCCTCCTTCTCCAGCCTCTTCTGTCAGGGGGACTCCCTTAGTTCTGGGCCTTTAATGCACCGCACACGCATCCTCCAGCCAGCTGCTGTCAGCGTACACACTTCCCCAGCCTGGTGCCAAGGCCTGACATGCCACGTCTATGCCCACCTCACGGGTCTCACTTCTCCCAGAAAGGCACCAAGGGCAACACAGTCTCCATTCAGCCAACATTCACTGGGGTCACTGGACGTCTGCTCAATCTTTACTATAAAGCACCCTCCAAGGAGCATGTGGCCCCTAGATCTCTACAGACAGATGGTGGGAGCCGTGGTGGTGTCCCACCAAGCCACCCTATACTTCCCCAACCCCACCAATGCCAGCACCATTCAGTTCCTGCCAAGAGTCTGTTGCCCACATTTCTTTTAGGGAAGTGCCTGACTGCCTCAGCCCTCTTACCAATGCCTGCTGAAATCCTCCCTTGAAAGCCTCCTCCTCCAGGCAGCCACCAGAGTTGAGCTCTCCCTCCTCTGGTGCTCCAAGCAGAGGTGACCCTGGTTTGAAGTAAGCTTTATATCAGTATGGTTTATGCGCTCCTCTGGAGCTCCCTGAGGACAGATCTCCTCCTCCATTTCCCCCAACAATGCACCCAACATAGGCCTGAGCCCAAACTTAGGGGCCAAGGAGTGACTGAGGCCAACACCTGGTTACTATGACAAGTCTCGTCCCTCCAGTCCCCCACGGTGAGACCAACAGGTGAAACACTTGCCTCAAAAGCCCCATTTGTGCCAGCCCAGCTCCTCGGCCCTCCCTCCCCCAACTCCATTTCCTTGGTGAGGGAAGGGCAGGTGGAGGGAGCAGGCTTGGCAGGGAGGCTGGTTTCTAGCGGCGGAGCCAGCCTTCTCCGCTCAGCTATTTCCATAAACCAATTATCGCCGATCATCTCGGGAGATTGAGGCCCTGCCTGTCACCAATCCAGCCTGGGCGGCGGGGCGGGGAGCTGGGTGGCCGCGTGGCTCTTAGGCAGGCACCGCGACCCGCGCCATCACCCGGTTGCCATAGGAACGCGCGGCTGGCGCCTAGGCGACCTGAGCCTGGGTGGGGGTGCAGAGAGCGGGGCACACCCTGAGTCCGCCTGCGCCCTCCCAGTGGCTGCGGCCCGTAGGGCGAGAGAGAGGGTAGGGACTGAGAAGGCGGGGAAGGGGGAGGGGAGAGCAGGTCGCCACACCCCTCTCCAGCTGGGAGCAGCTCCGGGGCGGGGCTGCAGCCCGCCTCCTAGGGCTCCAGACAGGCGGAGCTGCCACCAGCTCGAGGTGGTGCTAATGAGATGCAAATGAAAGGAGAAGGAAAGGCTTCTGGGAATGAAAGCCCAGCTGTCGGGACCTGAAGGGGGCTTTCAGTGGTCGCCCCCAGCCCCAAGCAGGAACCCCAGAGGGAGGATCCAGACCCTCAGAGACCATAGATCCTGGAAAGGGTTTTCTATCCCTGCGCATCTAATTCCAAATACACAAGTAACAAAGCATAAAATAAGCATAAGAAAGTTCACTGAAGTTTTTGTTTTGTTGGTGATGAATATTTCAAAGCTTTTAAAAAATATATATTTATTTGTAAAGACTTAAATGTAAGACCTGCAACTGCGAAACCCCTACAAGGAAACACAGGGGAAAGGCTCCTTTACATTGATCTTGGCAATTAATCTTTAGCTACGACACTAGAAGTACAGGCAGCAAAAGCAAAAATAGTGAGACTGCATCAAACTAGAAAGTTTGTAAAGGGAATAATCCTCAAGATGAAAGGTAACCTACAGTATGGGAGAAAATATTTGCAAACCATATATCTGATAGGAGTTAATATGTGAGGAATTCATACAACTCAATAGCAAAAAAACAAATCACCCAATTTAAAAATGAGGAAAAGGCCAGGCACAGTGGCTCAATCCCAACACTTTGGGAGGCCAAGTTGGGTGGATCACCTGAGGTCGGGAGTTGGAGACCAGCCTGACCAACATGGAGAAACCCCATCTCTACTGAAAATACAAAATTAGCCGGGAGTGGTGGCGCATGCTTGTAATCCCAGCTACCTGGGAAACTGAGGCAGGAGAATCACTTGAACTTGGGAGTCGGAGGTTGCGGTGAGCCAAGATCACACCACTGCAATCCAGCCTGCACAACAAGAGCAAACGCCTC